GTCCAAACAACGATGGGAAGATACGAACAAATAACACCAAGTGAACTCATGCTATTAGATGTTCATAAATTCTTGTTATTCTCTCGATCAAAATTATTTTGAACGGGTCTAGTCATATTATGCGTAATTGAGATTTTGGTGTTTGCTAAAGCGATTATGTATTATGAAAAGGAAAAAACACTGTTTGTTTGAGTGCATTACAAAACTAAATAGTTTTTACATGTAAGAACAAATATTTCTAATGATCTGCATAAATGTATCGGAAAAAATGAATAGACCTTCTGCACAGAGTATTCACATTTAGTCACTTGATACACCAATGAGCTATCGATCCAGCTATGTGAATAATAAATGCACCAGTTGCTCGGGAATCATTAGTACTATTCTTTGTTCAAGTGACTTTGAAGAAAGTGGTTTTCAACTGTGTTCGTGAAGGAGACAGAGAGTGTTCGGTTTGATTTCCAGATGAAGCGTCGTGGATGCGCGCTCTTTAGGAGTTCCATACTATTGTGGTGTGTACTACTGATGCCGATAGATATAAGTAGTATGTATCATCAATCAAAAGTGAAATGCCTGGTGGCAGAAGATTAAGACGATCAAAGAAAAGAGAACGAGAACAAAAAATGGTTGGTGTCGAAACGAAAGAACAATGAAGTCTGAGACGATTAACTGATGTTTGCAAAAGAAACAAACAAGTTTGAAACAACTGATTGACATTTTGCAAATTAAGTATATGCTGTATGGTCCTCAGATTTTATAAGATTTTCTGTAATTTTGTAATCAAATAATTCGATTTTCCCCACTTGTGTCCTCGTTCAATACACCACGAATGAACGATTGTCCAGTGCTTTCAGATTTTCAATGATTGTTGATTTCAATCACTGTCATTAATCTCTACAACCCCATGATGACAAATTAATGAATAGTTTTATTGATTGAATAGTCCTAGACAACAGGTTAATTTTTCGAGTATCTAGGAGTATTAATAACATACTAATATATAATTTGAGGTTTTTAGTCATAGAATACATTTTATTTATACTGTAGACGATTAGTAAGTTTGTTGAAGCAAATTATACTCCCCATTATCTAACGCCTCTTAATGAATAGATTACATTATTAATAATGAAATAATCAATTACTGATTACTTTATTTTTAAGCAATGTTTTATTTTTAAATTATTGACATGTGATTTATGTGATAGGTAGTATTAACTTTACATTGTACATACTGCTACAATGAACACTTGGGAAATGTCGGTGTCATTGATTTATCTGAGCTAAGTAATTTAATTGTGGAACTTTCATTGTCTTCTCGGTTAACATCATCAGCAGTCACTTCGTGTAGATTTGAGCTTCTTATTTGTACGATGAATGTTAAATTAGTTTGTCCTAGTGCCCTTGTTTATAGTTAGTTGTTTTTAAGATAAACCCTATTCGACAACTTATATGAAAAATTTGATCAACCACATAGTCGCATAACGACTAAACAAAATATTCAACATAGAATGCAAGATTAAATAAAAACGAGGCCTACGAAGATAAACAACTAAAAACAAAAGCAGCAGAACAAACTATTTTTGAAACTTGTGTTACAACTGAGAAGCTTACTTATACGTGCAGAAAACGGTTGGTGGTCTCACCCATGAAGATAACGAAAGCTATGTAACTAAACTATCTAGCCCAAAGAACGCAATAACACCAAAAGTATCAACCTTAGCTGCAAAGCTTCTTTAACATATCAAGACTCGGAAGCTCGGTGTCAGGAAACAGAAAACTTACACCTATCGAGATCATTTGAAATTTAAGCTTATTACAAGCTAAAATAACAGTTTCACTATGACAGATGATTTTTGTTTCAAAATTCATTTCTCAGTTATGCCAAAAATAGATGTTCACAGGCGAACCAAAATGTACGAGGGGTTTTATGAGTAACTACACTCCAAATATGTTATATACCTTTTGTGCTTCATCTATAATTGAGAAATTCTTCAAAATTAATCCTTAAGTTAATCATATATTTTGAAGTATACTGGTTTATAGAGTATGGAAGAATTTTCAGTCATGAATTCAGGATTTATATTGGCCATAAAATATTTTTAGTTTCAAAACTGCAGGATAATTCCTCATAAAGCGGAATCTCATAGAAGAACAGGGTTGTATGACCAATACTACCACTCAGTAGTATTGACCATTTTTATGAATTTCACAATAAAGTAGATGTTTAAGTGTATTGCAAGGGAATTCTTAGGAGTAGTTCTTTATCAATTAAGTATGACTTGAATTATTTTTTTGAACTGCTATAAAATATGTGAAACAATATTTCATGTGAGGTTTAAGTTGAATTAAAGCCTGAAGACTTTATAACTTCTTTTCTTGTCTGTAATTACCTAGACCATTTTCCAAAACACAGATTTATAAGTTTTGTGTGTGCTAATGATGGGATGCTAAACTTGCGATCCGTCCTATTTGGGATTCATCATCAGCTAATTTGCCTGTGTTTATGTTCAAATCAAGACTTAAACATAGTAAGCTTAACTTGAAATGCTGATGGATTAATTTTTTTAAAATATTTCTTCATTAAGATAATGGAGTTAGAGAAGGTCAATTTATTTAGATGTAAGACCTTCGCTGTGATTCTCTGTGAGTATATTTGTTATGCAAACACGGACTGCTTGATGCCCCTTGGTATTCAAAGACTGTTCAGCCTATAGCAGTTTGTAAAAAATAACCATTCCTCAATAGTTAATTCAATCAAATTCGACATCGTTGACTACATCTTTTGAATATAAGAGAACTAACTTGTAGTGGTGAACCACCCCAATAAAAAGTACTTTTATCTGGTTGAATACGTTTGTCGTTCATTCTACTGCTGATATTTCTTATGTATTAATTATTTCTGTACAGGATATGCATCTTCAGCAGGTGAAATTTATATTTCATATACAACGCAATGATATCCAAAGAGCAAAGTAGAATATAATATGGTATATTCAGTATATAAACACATTACAGGAGCGATTCCATATTATTGCAATAAAAACAGATGGACTAATTATCATTCATCTTTTACTTATTTACATGGTTTTATGATAATGAGTTTAGAGTCTTGACGAACGTCTTCAGAAGTTGGGATAAAGTGTCTAATAGAAATTCCCTAAGTAATTCTAGGAAAATTACGAATTGTGTTTTATTTACTATTTGGATGATTATCAATTAATTGTAGTCTAAAAGCCTCAACACTAACTTATAGATATTCACGTTTTCTGTACCTTATCAAATATGAATATTTATTTCACATTCCCATTTGGGATCCACATGTAAGAAGTTTCTGTTGAACTAGGAAGCGATTAGAAGTTAGAGTTAAATGATAGTGTGAAGGCTATTAGGACGTCATTGATCACACTAAGTCACGTTATCCACCGATTTTAACCTACCTAGTCTAATCTGAGTTTTCATATACGTTTAAACAAATCATCATATCATTTTTAATACAAAACGAAACAAGGTATTATACAATTTGATTCTACTATTTTACTAATCAACACTATATATTGTCATTCACATGAATTAATGAAGTTAGATATGTTTACAGAAAACAAAATGAAAAGGATGGGGAGAATAAAACAACTCACTATTTATCATTATGATATTAATGAAACATTTAAGAGAGAACAAGTGAATGAAGAGAAGTGTGACAAACCAAAAAAAAGAACAGAAAACAAAACAAAAATCAATAAGACAGTGTAACATTTGTTATTGTTTCTAACATTTCCCTGATCAGAATTTTAAATGCCTTTTATGATGTATTTCATGGAAAGACTTTAATCACTTAGTTTATAAGAGGAAACAATGTAGATAAGTTAGAAATGAGAAAATTTACATTTTTTCTTCTAAATGTAATTAATAGTTTCCATAAGTTTTACGAATAGGATTATTAGTAGAAATGAATCGAATCAATAAGATATTTCTTTCATTACACATTATAGTACTTCATCAATACATATATTAATCTTAGGTTAGTCTCAGTAAAAAAAAAAGGAGACGGATTCAATATATATTCATTCTTCTGTTTATCAGAATGAAAGATTATCATGCAAACAAATAAAATTATTAATATGATTATGTTTATATTTCTTGTTGTTGCATAATATTAATTTTATCTTCATTGTTTACATAAAAATATTATTTTATTTAACTATCCATGTAATAACTGTTCAACAAGCCAGTCGTCACATTGTAAATCAAGTTGATTTTCAGTTAGAATATAAAGAAATTAGAGTTAGTGAGTGAAAGAGTAGAAGGTGAATAGCATGAATATAAAAGATATCCTATGAATTGACAAAGAAAATATGAAGCTTATCACTATGTACGTATATGTATATATAAATATATACGATAAAGTATTATCCTAATATATAGAAAAGCTAAGCATTTACTATTATTATTATTATTATTATTAGTAGTAGTAGTAGTAGTAGTAGAAGTATTAGAAGTAGTAGTATTATACAAACATTACTGCTACTTTTTTGGTGAAATTACCGAGAAAATATGTGCATTAAAGAAAGATTATTAGTGCAAGAGAGGATAAAGAAGGATATTCTTTTCGTTGTTGTTGTTGATGATGGTGGTATTGTTAACTAGAATGAAAATGAATGGATTGTCTTCATTTAAAATAAGTCACATACATAGATTAGCTTAAATATAATAAAACACTGAAGAAACGAAAAAAGAAAACGGAACAATTGAGCTGCTTTTATTTTAAACAGATTATTAACAATCTGTATAATGGAATGTTGTATTTATGCAAAATTTGTATTATTGCAACAGAAAGCATTTATTTTCAAAGGAAAGAAAAGAAAAGAAATATGGAAGGCCAATTTGAACTTGACAATTTGTAAATATTCATTATTATTAACAAATTAAGAGTTATTTTCATTCTTGATAAATAGATATCAAAAATAAGCATTCTTCTATGTTATCCATAAAGGTTAAATTGGTTACCTAAATAAAATAAATTAAAATAAGGTTTATATAATTATATTATGTAATTATTTAATATAACTATTAGAAGGGGTTTTTTTATATTATAGTAATTTTAATAGGTAAGATCATAAGTTAATTGAAGCTAGACGACCATGAAAAAGCTGTCGCTCAATTTCATGAATAAGTTGAAGTTAAACTAACACCGTTGGATGCCAGCTGCCTCAGTGGTCTAGAGTTTAATCGTTCACGCGAGAGACTGATAGGTCCTGTGTTCGAATCTTGCGAGGCAGGATCGTGGATGTTCACTGCTGTGAAAACCCACATTTGGACGAAACTGCCGTCCAATCTTTCCATGTTTTCCATGTTTGTTTAGCTTCAATCGACTCACGATCTTAAGTATTAAAATTAATATAATTATCAAAATACCAAATATTACCGGTAAAATGTAAAATTATGGTGAAAATGAGCTTATTATACAGAAAAATCCCACCCGTTGGATTAATATAGATAGTGGTTAGAAGTAGAATAAAAAACGCGAGTTTCTTCCTATTTGCGACTCGTCAGATAGATTTATCTGCATCTCAGAGTTGATATTCACTCTGGGACTCGAACCCAGTACCGTTCGCTTCAAACCGAATCACAAAATAAAACAAATTTATCCAGTCTTAAAAATGTTATCCTAATTGATTCATTCAAGTTGATAAATAAAAATGCAGTTCTAATACTTAAGTGGTACATGTATTCATAAACTATCTAGAGAGTAGCTATTATTTATTTCAGTTAGTTGAATCAAACTGAATTTGTCATTTGCTTACTGTGTTAGACTTATATCTTACTTATAGTTTGGTAAGTATAAACAATGAATGTTGTATAAGTTATCTGAATATTGAATTATTCTGTCAAATATAGTTATAATGAGTTGTAGTTTGAGAACTCTACACTATTAGATAATGAATGGTTTTAAATTCTTTAATGTCGGAAATTGAAGTCATTTAGTTTAATGTTAGAGTGATATACTTTGAATTTTACTACTGTTAAAGTGATTTACAATGGGTTATTAAAGAAAGTTAATGAAGTTTAATACTTTGCATAAATCCTGATTTGTATACAGATTCACTTGGATACCATAAACTCCGATTGCTTAAGAGATCAATATCCAACCAAGTGTATTGTGATAAGTAAAATACAAAAATATAATTTTTAGAATCCCGGTAATTTCATAATTATCTGAAAATTGTAGTTTATTGAATAGTTAAATTCATGAGACGATGTAAGCTGGACCACCACTGAAAACCTAGAAACACTGAACGGCCGTTCCATCATAGTACAAAACTCCTCAGCAGTGCACATCCACGATCCCACATGCGGGACTCAAACCCAGCTTCTGATGGGAAGCCGCGAATAGTAGAGCACAATACGTTTCGGGTGTGAGACAAGTATCTACCTCAGACAATGGATGGATGGTTGCGCAAGATTATGAATCGATTGAAGTTAGATGTTAACAACGTTAGATGCCGGATAAGTAGTCAAGAAGTTAAGCCTTTGTGCGCGAGATCGAAGGTTTTCGGCTCAGATTTTGCGTGCATATCGTGGATAGATACAACCGAATTGTCCCATACTAGGGCAAAATGGCCATCCAGTGTTTCCAGGTTTTCAATGGTGGTTTAGATTAGATCAACTGATGAATTGAAGTATTAAAATTTCATAATTGTTGAAGAGACAAAAACCGACTGCTTGAACACTATATGATGTTTGCAGTTTCAAGAAAAGAAAGTGTATTCCTTCATCTTATTTACAATTATACAATTATAAACACAACATAAATGTAATCTCCATTATTTTGCAAATCGGTTTCTAACGTCATATTATTGGCTTTCATTCATAGACTTACAACCATGTATATAGGATTGATAATTTCTGTTCAGAAAGTATTTGCGTCTGTTTGTTTATTTAACTTGAATCAAATAAGCGTAGATAATATATCGTTCATATAAAACAAAATGAAGGTAATTGTAGGCAATTGATTTAAAGATGAATCATAAAGATTTACTTACTTGTTTAGTCTGTATATTCTATCGTCTAACTTGACAAGGATCATTAAAAAGAAATGCAGCTGAATTTGGTATAGCAATCTGATTTTTCAGTCTTCCTACTTTGAGAATAACTTTATATGGAGCTGCCTAAAAAAGAGATTTATCAATCAGATATGCTTCTTTTTTAACTACAACAATTTTTAAATTATTTTTTATCAGAATAGGGTTTGTAGAGATTGTAGTGATTTCAGTAGTTGGGTTAATGAGTCGATGTAAGCTAGACCACCATTGCGAACCTGACGGCCGTTTCATCCTAGCATGGCGTTCTTCAGAAGCACCCATCCATGATCTCTGATGTGATCTAGAGGTTAAACGTCCGCGTGTGAGACCAAAGATCTTGGGTTTGAGTCCCGCATGCGGGATCGTGGATGGGTACCGCTTAGAAGTTCCATAAAAGAACGAAGCGGCTGTCCAGTGCTTCCGGTTTTTCAATGGTAGTCTAGCTCACATCGACTCATGAATTCGACTACTAACATTTCTAATTCATCAAGTAGAATTGTTAAAAACTTAATAGTCATGACACTAAAAATTTGAATTTATGTTCAACAATGAATGTAGCATCCAAAAAAAATGTTCTTACACATTTAGTTGTTACTAATGCGTTTAATAACAAGTACGTTTAGTGAAGGACCTTCCAGTTGTCTATAAACCCGATGGTTTTAAAAATACGAATCCTTATTCAAAAAAGCCAACACTGATATTTAGTAAGTTCAGTTGCCGTAGCATGAAGAATATGTGGATTTTAAACTGAATTTCTGAAGAAAACTGTTCTATGTAGAATTAAAATAATAAAATATTTACTGCTTGAATGATTGCTTTTGTTACACACAAGCTGATTTTATAATATGACAGGAGCTAAGCAAATTAAAGAAAAACCACTGAAGTTATTACTAAGTGAACATTTTGTATGAGCCTTAACCTCCAATAATAATTATGGAAAACAAAACCTTTTATTCGACAATAATCTTCATCACGTCAAAAACATTTAACTTGTAACTAAATATTCTGTTGATTCCATGAATAAGCTGTACCACCATATTTACTAGTAATGGTGAAAATCTACATTATTTACTAAAGTATGAGATATTTAATTACCTTCAATAGAGCACCAACAATTTCACTAGTTAATGTGCTTGTATCTTTACCATTTACTTCCAGGATTTGATCATTTGCCATGAGACGACCATCAGTTGCTGCAATCGATCCTTTAATCTAGTAAAATAACAAAATGTTAAATTTTTCTTGGAATTCATGAAAACTTGATCATAGAGAATAACGAATTGTTCGTAAAACATATTTTTATAATCAGTAAATATGTTAAACTAGCTTAGTCTTACTGATATGGAGAGTCAATCAGAAGTAGAAAAAGGTCAGTTGATGGCAATCAGAAGAGACCCAAAGGTTAAGTGAATTTCATCGGGGTTAATGGGTCACTTTCCTAAGGATGGCATAGATATGAATGAGTATTTGCGCATTCCATTCGGTAGTCCAGTACACTTTCTCGCTCACGTAGACAGTTGAGGGGGGGTTATCACATAGCATACCGTGTATCAGTACCAGATTTCGGACACCGCACGTCACAACACTTACTATCAATATTGTTTATTAAGTTCTGAATAAACGCATAGATTGAAATAAATGATATGAATTTTGAATCAATTAAGTTTGAAGAGAGATAGGATTATTTTCCTGATTAATTTTTTACTGATAGGAAAATGAATAACACAGTTTCTGAAAGATCTAGTTAATTATATGGAATCAATTTCATTTATCAAAATCATGAGTGAAGTCGACTTCGAAGATCTCAGCAATTGCTCTTGAAACATTTCAACGATTATTACAGACAAATTGACCCCACAAGTCAACAAGAATAGCCCGAAGTCCCTCAATTATCTTTGAGATAAATTATTACTATATTTTAGTACATACGTTTTCTTACATTATGTACAACAAATATAAAAGTGTTATTGAAAGGCTTCACATTTGAATAATTATTATTCTGATTCAAACTATTCATGAGCATCGGGTCATCTTATAATTATCATACAGCAAATTTTAGGGTTGTTTATATGTTATTTTTAATCCCAAGGGATTTATCATTTTTACCATGAGTAGAAAATCAATTAGTCACTTTCGCTTACAGGTTAGAGGAGTTTTAGCTCAGTAATTCGGAATGACCAAGTAGACTCATTTCACAGATTTAATTCTCGATTTATGCTGACGATTGTTATTTATAACCATTTTTTCACATTTCTGTTAGTAACTGTACAATAAAGTAAAAAGTAAAAATCATGATTATTACTGAAATCGACTCACTATTTCAGTAACAATAACGCCATATGATGTTTGCATTTCGGAAGTGTTTACATAGGAATTATCTTGTACCTTTAAAGTATTTTCATTCTCTGACAAATTTTCATCTAGTTTAAGATGTACACATCGATCGGCAATACAAATTCCCAAACCTTTTCCAGATTTCTTCAATAATTCAATTACTAATTCTTGGTCAAACCATTTCTGACTTTGTTCTGTTGGTCGAAATATAGTGAGATTTAAATAACTTTGTTCTTGATTTGATAAAGAAATATTTTCATTTTCATCATCTGAATCTAGTTTTATCATAGACGATTTGCTAATATAAGCCATTTGAAGTTTATTCATAGCTTCCAAAAATGGTACACCAACTAATGATATTCGATTGACATTACTAATTCGATCCCCTGGACGCAAACGTCCATCTTTTGCCGCTGCACCATTAGGATAGATTTCATGTATAACTGGAACATTCTGTAAGAAAAATATTGGTTTTATAATTATTTGTATAAAGATTTACACTTCGAATAACTTTACAATACTTCAATAGAATGTTAATAAATTTTAACTTGAAATAACTTAGAAAACCGATTGTTTATTTTCAATTTTTATTTGTTGTTGAGTAGTTTTAAGAATTTTGTATAAATCGGTTTCAAAGTTATTATTTTAAAATAGTAAATAAAAAAATAAACTTATATAAACCTGTTGATGAAGCTGCTTAAATCATTACATCCTTCATTGATTTTTCAAGTTATTCCATACAACCACAGCATAGAAAGATCTGCTAAACCATTTTAATCTTGATAATTGTCAAGTTATAGCCTAAGGCGAATTGATTGAGATTAGAATCAAAGGTTTTCAGTTTAGTTCTGTCAATAAGAAGAATACTATTTGATTTCAAGTGCTTATTTATTTGTTGTCAGTTTTTATTAAATTTATCTTCGAATTCAGTAAACAATAACAATAAAGCCTAATAAGAATTCAAAGAATACCTATAAACTGTCCAACAAAGCATATTCAGATATTATTTAACAGAAATTTTATATAAGCAAAGATGGATAGTGGCTAGCAGTAGAATCCAGGACGCATGTTTCGTTCTATCTAGTACTCGTTAGATGAATTTACCTGCATCCCAAATTTGATGTTCACTATCTATTTTAGTTTATAATGCTTGTGAATTAAGGCAGTATCGAGGTAATACGCATAGTATGAACGTTTGCCAATAAGAGATTGATCAATTTCAGTCGTAAACATCAATGTAAAGTTTCAAGTAAACAATACCGAGAATTCTATAAGAATCTGTTTATTTATTGGATTGATAAATATCTCATAGTTAAAATATAATGGAAACAGAAATGAAGGCTCACATTTAGAGAAGATGAGAATTACCTCTAAAATGTACATCATACTATTGTTATAATTATCACAGTTAATTAGATAAGGACACTTTAACAATATTTCAGCTGATAATTTATGTCAGATTTACTTGAAAAGTATGTATTCACTAATAAGATATTAATAAGATATTCAGATCAAAAAATTACATAACATGTGCATATTAAACTTAGATCAGTGAAAATATTTCCTAATCTTGTCTGAAACGTAATCTAAATACATCATTAAACAAACAAAACAAAGTTGATTTTCGTCACATGCATGATAATGGTACTTATGAAATTTAATAGAAAGATTTGTACACTTCTACTCTGGTTTCATATTATCATAATTATTATCAAATTTTAACAATGATCAATCCTACTGATTAGGAGATCTTGTTTCATGTTTATCATTCTATAAACTTTGTTGAAAATCGATTGATTCAATTGAGTTAAATATATTTCTGACGAAATGATATAGAACGAATATTTGAAGTTAAAATTAAGTTAACAACAACCGATAGGTTTTTCCTACTAATAATAGTAAAACTGAAATTACAGAAAAATATCCTACCATGACAAATTTTATTTCTTTGAAAACGAGGTAAGTTACAGCACATTATCGTGGTAGCCTTATGAATATAGTTACATAGTCGAAGTTAAAATAATTAACAAGGTAATCTATCAATAACATACCTATTGTTGTGAACAGGGGTGAGCATACATTATTGAACTATCTGGAACGTGTAAAATCTCCATTAAACCATTGACATTTTCATGGAGGTTATGAGGTTATTTGATATATTACACTAAATACCATAGTATTATTTACAAAGTTATAATGGAACACACACAAACATTCAGTTTCTTATCCCTTATCACGGTAGAATTTAAATAGTTGGGTAAGGCATTCTGTATTATGTTACCACAACAAATGATCATAAAACTGTTAGCACTTATGTCAATCTATTCAACGTGCATTATTTTTTTTCATTGGTATTCACTTTTTAGCAATTTAACAGGGAAGAAATATTACATTTTACTAATACACTTAGTAACAGTTCTATATCACAGTATATGGAAATCCCAATTTTAATTCACAGTAGTAATTAATCAATTATCATCGAAATTGAAAGTTTGATGTTCTTTTTAAGAAGTAAGTAAATGATGGATTTAGTTAGAACTGAAGTAGTTAACCATAGATTTATCACTTCAAATGTTTATAAAAAGCCTACAAGACTATCCATATAAATCTTAATTGTCTGTATTATTAATGAGAGAGAAGATTTCTCATATCTTTATTTATTTATTATTTATGTATTCTACATTTAGTTGTAATTTCATATTAATATCACATGTAAATAAACAAAAATTTATTTATTCAAAACAAACTTATAATCACATGATTAAGAATAAGATGAACATATTTTAAATCAATATGTTTATAACAAACTTTAAAAAAACAACAACATGGAGGATGTAATTATGTTGTTAAGGTTTGAAAAAAATTATGACCACATCATAAAAGCGAAGATGTATGTTGTCTAGCAGTAGAATCCAGGACGTGCGTTTCGTCCCATTTGGAACTCGTCAGTTGGATGTATCCACATCCCAGAGTTGATATTCACTTTGGAACTCAAACCCAGTACTGTTCGCTTCAAACGCCATCACGTTATGCGCTTAGATACTGAGTTCTGATAGCCACCTGCTTGTGCAATGGGGTGAAGTTTAAATTCACTTGTTGTTTTTTACTTGTATCTTCCCATTGTTATTTAAGACTGCGATTGATCAGTCTCATCTACTGGGTTCAAGTTCCAAAGTAAAAATCGAGTTCCAAATAGGACGAAACGCGCATCTTGGAATTCACTGTTAGCCACTATCCATCTTTGCTTAAAAAGCTTGTGACTTAAGGCTATATCAAGGCAATCCGCACAGGATGCACATATGCCAACATGAGGCTGATCAATCACAGTCCTAAATAACAATGGGAAGACACAAGTAAAAAACAACACCAAGTGAATTTACATCATAAAAGTATAACGAGACTAAAATTTTATTATATACCTGACAAAAAATTATTTTATTCTATGGTAGAAAATAAGACTGTTCTTTTTTTCTGTAATGACTTCAGATAATGTTTCTTCCCAAAAAATAAAGTGAGTTCGTTAACAAACGTTTAATCAAATATGAAATATTTCATTATTTTACACCATTTTTCTACTCAGTAGCTAAGTGGATAGATAATGTGGTGACATTTGAAGTGAACAGTACTAGGTTTGAGCTCCAAAGTGAACATCAACTCTGAGATATAGGTACATCCAACTGACGAGTCACAAATAGGATGAAACCTGTGTCCTGGATTCCACTGCTAACCACCATCTATCTTTGCTTATATTCTCTATTGTTTATTCTGTTTTTATACAGATTACTAAAAATCTACTGCTACTACTAAAATTCGGTATACATACTTCAGTACTTTTAGTAATTACTTTTAGTTTTAAATGAAATGAAATTATATCACTTAAACGGCAACTTATGTTTTCGATGTACAATTCCTTTGAGAGTTAACATGAAGTTATTTTTTGTTCATAGTATGTAAAAAGTGTGTATGTATAAAATAAAGCATTCGCACGCTTACTAGTGCTGTTTCACAGCCTCCTATACAGCCTATCCCTAGACCACAAGAATTATTTATTGCGATCGATATTTCAGTTTCAGTTCCAGACTTGATGGGGCGGATTGTTGCTTCGATTTCTGGTTCGTCATTTATTAAAATTGAGATTTTATCGAAATTCATTATATCTCCTTGAAGGTTTATTGAAGTTGTTGAATAGTTTGGCAAAGGCTGTAGAACAGTAGTAGGAATATGCTCTCGTTTATAACAGATGTTTGGAAAACTTGCACGACGATACCTTGATACGATTTGTCGGGGTACTAACCAGCTCGTACCTTTATGGTTTCGAAAAGGCAAAACATATAAGGGAAGTTTAACAAATTCATTTTTAATAATTTAAGTTAAAATTATAAAGTGAACATTGAAAAACATTTGAACTCACCATATATGGTAAGATGTTCTTCTTGAGTCTAAAGATTTAATATCTTATGTTTGAATTGTTCTGGAGGTATGCTCAATAGAATCTTTGACTTGCTTAGTTATTTTCCAGAAGATAATTTGAACAATTTGTCACACACAAACTATGATTTCAAAGTCGAGAATACAAAATAAGATTCTTGAGAAATGTTTATTATTTACCTGACATTTGCCATGATGAAGATGTCTTTGAGTTGATTTATATTGTAATTTACCTAAATTATTACTTCATTCATTCAGATTTCTGTCATGTTAGGTGGTAATTATCGAGAAGATCAGGGTCTAGATTTTATACTATATAGGACCTATCTGCCAGATATACCTATAGTCTTAGAGAAACAAATATTCCTCTTGGTCCTCAAACCTTAGTCACTAATTATTATTGCATGTGAACTGAGTAATAATAATAATAATAATAATAATAATAATAATAATAATAGGTTTATTTAACATGATATGTTCAGTACAAAATAGAATTCTTATCAAAGAACATTTCGACAAGTTTCTTTTACTCTTCTTACATCACAAAGACAATCGAAACCTCATACATATATGTACGAAATAAGTAAATAAATTATCTAGAATTGAATGAAATTTGTCTAAAAAAATAGGGATCTATACAACAGTGAGTTAGCAGCATGTTCATGAATGAAATTTTTTCATTGGGTCAGCCCTCACAACCTGTTCGTCAGATGGTATATATGCTAGATACGGTATTGTAAAAACTTTATACTTCTCATCGAAATCATGAACCGATTAATGGGTTGATTGAAGTTAAACATTAATACAGTTGGTTGGATATCGAGTCAGTGATGTAGAAGTTAAACGTTTGCGCGCGAGACTGATAGGACCCGGGTTCGAGTCTTGCAAGGCGGGATCGTGGATGCGCACTTCTGAGTCCCACACTAGGACGAAACGGCCCTCCAGTGATTCCAGGTTTTCCATGGTGGTCTAGAATCAAGTGACTCTTGATATCAACTATCAAAATTACCATAATATTCACAAAAACTCCTGGCAAAATCATTTGTTTGAATTGTTTAATTTTAATATGTCTATGGATTTTAGAAATTAAAATTCGAACAATCAGTCAGTAATTAGGTATTTTAAACAAAATTCTTACAATAACTATCTAATTTATTATTCTAAACAGTATATATTATTATTTTAACTTATAAAACATGATATTGCCACGAGTTCAATAAACCCGGAAACTTGTATTTATGTACACGTAAATTAATTTAGTCATTGACTCTAAGATGAATCATTTTATTTGTTTATTTTATAGATCCATATTATTTATGATTTAGATATATTTGACAGTCCAATTACCTTTTTACCATATGATATATCATATATAAAAGGTGTTTATTGTTAAGGGAGCTACATGTCTGAGGGTTGATAGTTTCCATTGTTTGATCAACATATATATCACACAACTCACCACCAGTTCTCGCCAGAGTAGAGCCTGGAATAGATGTATGTTGGTCCAATTTTCTATATCGTATTAATACGGTGAAATTAATGAGTAGCAAAAAATTTTCTATATCGTATTAATACGATGAAATTAATGAGTAGCAAAAAATCAAAATAATGTGGTAATGATGACAATGGAAAAGACTAAGTATTTAGAAAAAGGCTTCAAGAAACTGTGGAAAGTTACATATGAGGGTATAATAGGACTTGAGATTTAGAGTAGGAGAACAAGTCAATTCATTTGCATTACCATCAACGATTCTGATACATACTACTCAAAGTCCGGAACCATTGATTGCGGTTATCTCATGGACCCCAGACAGGTAGTATGCATCTTCTAAAAAGGTTAGAATCAACAATTTATGGCTTTCTTTCAATCTACTCCTACACCAGCAACCATTACTTGTCGAAATAAGCGGTTACTAGGCATACGTAACACATGTTATACCCACCGTGGTCGGTGGAGAATCATCGCCTCATCAACCTATTTGCCACTTTTGGTCAGTACTCTATACCTAACCTCATTCGATTATTTGGTTGCTTCAAGAAACACGAGCGATGCTTCATAGAAACACATGATCAAAAACCTGTAGTTGACGAGTGTGTTACAGCCTCAAAGTAGTACGGAGTTGACTCCATAGCACCATACACCCATTACGGTCAGCAGACGAAATCTCACCTACACCTGGATGTATATATAATGCACAATTTAAGGGATAATTTTTTTATAGATTACTGTTAGCAAATAATCAACATAATGCACTTTTAGTGAAAAAGATAAAGCGAATAACTAAACAATTTATTTATGAATGACAGATACTTAATTGATGTTATAAATACCATTTTTAATTTATCAACTTATTTTTTGACTGATCTTCGTTATCAACTAATTAAATATCACATATCAGTCTCAATGTTTATGGGGCTACCTGCAAATCCTCTCTAACCGCTTAATATCAAAACATACTTCGTCTGATATTAAGCAACTTTGACTAAGCGCCATGTTGTGACTTATTTTTTAGGATTCGTTGAGGACTAAATATGATACAATTGGCACAAGTGTTACTCAGCGATTAACTAGTGTAAATATCTCAAACCTACAGTAAATCGTCTCCAACTATCATAATGTGAGAGGCAATTATGAGTCTTACGAAAGTATCAGTTCCATCACGGTTGTAGATACACCTTGTTGATGAGAGATAAACAACTAAAAATATGGATTCATGATGACCTATTGATTAACTCTACCTAACAGATATACAATAACGTAACCATAAATCGGTATAAATCTAAAACATTTTAGATATGTGACTTGTCAAAAAAATTCATCATTTGCTGGGCAGTAATATAAAAAACTTGTTATAATAAGAAAAATAACTACCATCATAACAGGTTTATTTTAAGGTTCATTTTCAGTAAATAACTGGGAACAAATCATACGTTCTGTCACTAAATCATATAGATTTTACCAATATCTTCGTGCGTGTAAATATCATCGGTGACATTAGTTCATAAGTATTTCATATATTTATAGGAAATATAACAACTTTTTCTTAAAATGTTCACTTCAAAGTATATTTAAAACCGAAACATACATGACACTATGTTATATATACATCGAAAATGGTTAATAAAGGGCAAAATTATTTACCCGAAGAATATTTTAACCAATTGACTTTCAAGTTAGTATTGTAGAAAAACTAAACACCATAATATCAGCATACTGACAGTTTGTGTTCGTCTTTTGTGTAAAAAGAACTGAACAAAACGTTTACAGATTTCTTTTAGAAGGTGAATAAATGGCGTAAAGTAAGACTGGTAACTTAAAAGAAGCATGCAAAATAACTACTATATTGACTTTTTATCAGAAGTATTCAATACAAATGTGTAAATGTTTGAAATTAATACATCTGTAATGAAGAAGTGTTTGTATGTGAAAAACGTAGTACATTCTGAAGTAGAAAAAATCAACCTTACCCTTGGTAGGATGAACTATTGTCATATGTTCAAAACAAACGGCATTATGATGGTTTGAAAGCATGTGTTAGAAACCTATTTAATCATTTAGTAACTACTTCAATGTTTTACAATTAATGGCTACTTCATCAATAAGAGCTTACACATTTTTAAGTTATGTTATTGAAGTGATTATTCTACAAGACGTATTTCTGTCACTTTCTTGATTTCGCACAGATCAGAAATCTGTGATAAAGATCTGAGGTATGTTTTATTCAATGTTGTTTCAACGCAACTCTTATGGATTACCTATTTGACGAAAATTATAAACCACCTAACCATAGTTGCTTCATGCAATTATTAGTCTGTGATAATTTTTCAAATAGAGGATACAGCATATTAGCCTTCAGACTTTCGGAACAACCCGATCAATTACTTAGTTTATGTTCATTGTAGTTTTTCCCATTTACAAATTTGAGTGAAGCTAGAACAAATAATGTAGCAGAATAACATGAATTCATTCTATTTTGTAGCTCAATGTCAGCTGCTTAAAACCTAAACATAATATTATAATCTTTAAAAATCAGTCTGCATGCTTTATATCATAACATGGGTAGGGTTCTCATCAATGAAGACTGATGAAAAAAGCAATTATTATGCAAGAACTATAAGAGATGTTCACATGTTAATTAATGTTAATATTTAAAGGTTTAATACAGGAATATCATAGAATAAATAACTAAGAACATAGAAACAGAATTATTTAGAAATGACATATTAATGTTCTAGTTAAGTAAATCTTGAAAAAATTGGCCAACAGAGTACAGATCAAACAGAAAATGAGTATTAATAATTAGTATAATTAAAAAAGAGAATCTTGTTACAAATATTTATGAATGAGTTCAAAACAGCAAGGCATGATTGACAACTAAATTGTTCTGGATACATAAATTTGCTTTAATTCTTTTTATGGTGATTGCTTTAGCAAACCGCAGTAAATTTGACGTTTTTTGTTTATTAGTTATCCTAAAGGACTTTGAGACATAAACATCATGACCACTATCAAAGAGATGGCGTGCAATCACACTACTATAAACGTATTGTTCTATCAGTCTAAGCTTCCACCTATCTAGTTAATATTTCTAAGTGACTCTGAATTATATAGATTGGACAGAGTATCCATAATTTCAGACACCTTAACAAAATGATAAGAACCAAATTATAAAGAAATAGTGAAACTGTCAACAAGCTTTTCAGTCCGCAGAATTTACTGGAATTGAACAGACTATGTACGCTAGAAATCATACTCCAACCTTTCAGTCTTTTTGTAGAGAAATGATTCTGATTATCATTGTTTTACGAGTAATATATCATTTATTTTAAAAACAAACTTTTCATACATCTGATATAACTTTAACTACTGAAAGCATGTTATCAACAACACTCGTTAGATTCTTCCTTACGGTAAATGTTTATTTCTTATGTATATGAGTTAATGAACAAATAAGGTTACACAGACATAAATCAAGTTTATTCATTTGATTTTCTCAATGATAAATATATATAAAAGTTGAGTTCACTAGTCAATCTAAGCTAAACCACCATTGAAAACCTGGAAGCATTTGATGACCGTTTCATCCTATTATCGAGATCCTTAGCAGTGAGCATCAACGATACTGTAATCTCCAGAAATCCCGAAAATTGAAATTAAATAAGTTAAAGTTATTCTCTAAATGTGAGAATTCACTAATCCCCTTAATTAAACAAAATATTTGATTCAGAAGGCTACTTTACGGGTAGGTATTATGTTTCATATCAGGAAAACATACATATGATAATAAAATGATGAAAAGAAGCATAAAAGCCAAGACATTTCTCTGATTTTGTCCTACCATTAGAATATCAAATAAAGCTTATTAAAACAAGTGAATGTTTTATGCAGGCTTTAACTAACAAATGAAAACAGGACAAAGAAAAAACGTTTAAATTGTTATTTTGTAACACTTAATTCAATCTTTAGGGTGGATGGAACGTGAGTTACTGTGAATTTCTAATAATGACTTAGGCAAAACAATGGACAATGAAAATTCCATCATATTCAATAGTACACTTCCTTAAACGATTGAAACACAAAGTTACACTCAAAATCTCAGTATGAACTTTGCTCTTTTTGTAGAGCTGTATTTAATTTTCAAAACAGATAATTTTTGCCAATATAGATGTAAAACTTCGAAAACTAAACATCTATTATCCTTTTCATGTATAAAACAAAATGCGTTCAGTAGAGAATGAAAACACGCATACTCTAATTATAATAAACACAATGATTCAATATTGTATTACGGATTATGTGACATATTCATTAATTCTTTGATTACAATATGTTCTAGTGTAGACTGATTGAAACCAAAGAAATCGCCAATCCATCATTAAACTTCTTAGTTATTTTATTCATCAACTAGCAGAAAACATCATCATAGTTCTATTTATGATTCCATGATAATAAGGGGAAATAGGACAAAAGTCTCAGATAACACTTAAGAAAACATGTAATATCTATTTGTTTAAATCGTAACATTTATTCTAAATTATATTTTTTAAAACAACCGCTAATTATTGTTCAATGTGGAAAAAAATAATTACCTACCACTTTCAATTGAGGATAATACGTTTAAAGGTTTTGTGTTAATTAATTCTCGGCATGTATTAACTGGGGATAGAAAATTTTTCATTTCATTATCTTTACCAAATATAACAGATGCAAATGTATTCAGTACAGATGGATCTGAGAAACGTTTAGTTGATGATTTTGTTTCTGCGCTTGCTTGAATATTGAAACCCCACCGTGTAACTTGTACATGAAGCTGAAAGCAAATAAGCATAAAAATAAAGATAAAAGTAAATTATATAAACATATATATATATATATATATATATATATAACATTAAGTTGCATTCATCTGTGATTATCTCCTATTCAAAACAGGATAGAATCCATGAACTTTAAGTTTTAATGTGAGAATGAAAACTGTAAATCACTGAGCTAGAAACAATCATCATCATCATTTTGATAGTGCAATTCTCATTCCTAAATCGTGATTTGGATAATCATCTAAATTATAGATTCCAATAAAATGTTAGAAAATACATTAAGAACAGTCTCACTGATTAGCACTAAACAATCATAATTAATTAATTATCCGCTGAATGGCTCAATTCAAAATCCTGTGAATTACCTATTCAAATAAAAGATATTTAATGTGAATTTACGTTTAAACAGTAGTGATCATTTATGAAATTATGTAACTGAATATTGGATAGAATGTCATTAAAAATAATCAAGCATAATTTTCTATTCTTTAATCATCTACACAAACTTGAACGAAGGATAACCTTAATTTAATCTCCACCTTATTGATTAATCTTAGTTGTTTCCATATCAAAGTTATGTCATAAATGATTCAGTAAGAGTTAAATGGTAAGTTTATTTGAAAATTGAAAATATCAATTAATTGACGAAATAGGCATCGTGTTTTTAGTAATTATTCATAAAGAAAATGAAGTTCAGAATTTATGTTTGCACAGTTTGATTCAATATCCCATTGTCTCTTCTCTTTTATTGCTACATAGATTTTTAAAGTGTCATTACGAGATTTTGAAATTCAGCACTAATTGTGTCGTAATAAATGGTATTACAAAATTTCTCTAATCACTTCTAGATTTATAAAAAATAAGAATAAACAAGGTAAACCTTTTCTTTCATTTTGCATCAAATATCAAAATGATAAGCATAAACACGACTTCTACATGAAGTTTGTGCTGATGATGTCGTTCAGAAGAACGATGAATTCTCCACGACCAAACCATCTAGCTCAAAGAACAAAACTCCATCAAAAAAGATTAAAATATTTTATTAGTTATAAGTTTAAGCTACTTCCTTTTTTCACGATACTGAAAGACTATTTTAGTGTAGAATAGAAATTATTCACTACTTCTATGATTACTTCTCCTGTGAACGGTTCCATACATCATTTCGTGTTATATTAAATATTAATCAATTAAAAATTAATTAATTCAAAGAGTATGGCCTTTCTAGTAAATCCAACGTTTCGTATAGCAATCTAGTTAATTTATTAATGTTAATTTCCCTTTGAAAAAGCTTGGTTAAGATTACCAGTCGAAACGTTAAATTTACTTTATATTGATTCGTTGAGATTTTTACAAATACATTCTTCCTTCTTAATGTCTTACACTAACTTGGCACTCGAATACTGTGACTTTATTCAGACGAATTTTAATCAAGAGTTATAACATATGATTATGGAATGACCTTTACATTTTAAAATTAACTAATCAAAAGTAGAAAATAAACTTACAATATGTTTTGCAGATCGTATCCATTCTACTACTGTGTCGTAAGGTATATGTGTGACATCTTTTTTGTTTATTTTAATTAATTGATCGCCAGCACATAAAATACCATCCTTAAAATATACAAATAGAAATGACAATAAAACTCTTTATAAATAAACCATGTTATTCACATGAATACTTGTTTTATAATATGAATGAAATATCAATGACAGCTTCTAAACTGAATCTGTTTAAACTGTCATAGAAATGTAAAACATTTCTATTAAATCCATTAAATTCCATCCATGTATTCGACTACAATTCGTGTTTTCTATATATGTACTTCGATAATCTGATAGCTGCTATCTGAAATTCAAATAAGTTATTTTGTTAATCTAATTTTAATATTAATTTTGATTTACTAAAAGAAAATCATTAACACAAACCAATATTTCATTTTAAAAAATAATGGGATATGGAACATTTATGTTGTCCATGAATAGAATTATGTAATGATGTACACTGTTATAATACTTGCTTGGCTTCTGATAATTCTATTTATCTTTTTTGCAGTGATCATACACTTTAGTTTATATTAGAATGATTTAACTATCTTACTTTAATTATTGTTACTGTGGTGTGCTACTGATGTCGATAGATATAAGTAGTTTGTATCATCAATCAAAAGTGAAATGCCTGGCAGCAGAAGGTTAAGAAGATCGAAGAAAAGAGAACGAGAACAGAGAATGATTGCAGTGGAAATGAAGGGACAGTGAAGTCTCAGACGATTGATTGACACTTACAAAAGGAACAGTCAAGTTTGAAATAATTAATTGACATTTTGCAAATTAAGTATTTACCGTATGATTCTCGGATTTTACTAAGATGTTCTGTAGTTTTGTATTCAAATATACATTTGGTTGTCCCCACTAGTGTTCTCGTTCACAACAGCACTATAGGATAAAATTTGTCAGTCACTAAACGTAGTACTTTTAAAGTACTGTAGAGAACAGAATTATAATAAGAATATGTTTGCGATATCATAAGGTATATGATCGTCTTTTTTATAACCTATTTCAATCTTCATAACTTTAAATACCTTTGATATAATGAATTTTTGTATACAGAATATCGATCGAAAATAGAAAATTTATAATTTATTTGCATGACATTTCAGTGGAAGTTTGTTTTGTTCAAGTAGGTATAAACTAAGTTATAAAATACAAATTTAGTACAACTAACAATATGAATGTAAATGTGACCTTCAGAATCGTATTTACGTCAAATGACAAGATAGTATTGTCAATAGACATAAATCAGAAAACAATAAAGCATCTTATTTCTATATCAACAAAAAATATATAAGTTGCTTTAATAATGTTTTTGAATTAACAATCTGAAAATAATAATGTGGAGGGAACTATTTGTTCACTAAAGTGTGAACAACATATATATATATCCTTAAATCTCATATATAATTATTGACTTAGAGTTAGTGAATAACGGAATTAAATAAATCAAGAGAATGGATTTTTGGATACCTATATTTTGTACATTCATTGATCTGGACAGGAAATGAGAGGGATGAAGAGAATGGAAGGGAGCGAAGCGAAATGACGCGCGGTGGAGAAGGCATGTGAGCCAAATCCCTTTAATCAAGCGTTAATCAATATTTATAGTCACACAAAAATAAGCTACAAACATGTGATGAGTAGGATGAGAAGTGTACACACCTACGCTCATATAATAACAGTCAGGGTTGGTAAGTGAATAATTAACACTGTCAAAACGTGACTTAAGAATAATGGATATATATATATATATATATATATATATATATAATATATATATATATATATATATATATATATATATATAACTTTGTATCACTTAGGAGTCTCAGATTCACCATAACAAATATCTATACTATTGGAATGAGGTGAAAAATATCACAGAAACGCATAAACTGATGTCAGTATTAAATCCATAATAAATGATGGCAGAAATATACAAATGAATAAACTTCGAAATAAATAATTACACAAAATCATGAGTTTTCTACCAGAGAAAATTATTTTTGGATTAGTTAGTGTTTTTGTCATTTGGTGTTGCCTGTATCGCTTAGTATACATTATACAGATAAACTTGAAAGTTCTTTCTATTTCACAAGCATTTTAGTTGTCACTTATTTTGGTATTTGAATATTAATTATTGTATTAAATAGCGTACCAGTTATTAAGTAATAGTGTCCAAAATTTAATAAACTGAAATCGGAATTGTGTACAAAAAGTTTACTAAAACATACTTTATCAGCTGGACCACCTTCAACGATTTGTTTGATATAAATTCCTTCTTCATTTGTTGCACTTCGTTCCATTATTGCAAATCCAAATCCTTTAGAACCCTATTTAAAAATAATACAAAATAATAACGCTTGTTTGTCAATAAACTCCGGGTTACAACGTTCTGTCTGAAATTTTTAATCATGTATAAATGCTTAGCGTCATGAAGCATGAACTCTTCGTCAATGAAAGAATCTGTGTCCTATCATATAAAGTAAATAATTTAACTCATAACAGCTGAGACATCTTAAGTTGTAATTCAGAACTAATCTTCATTCTCAAAATCCAGATAATTAGCTAGAGGTATGAATTTCTATCTTCTAAGATTTTCTTTGAAAATACCTCATATATATGATTTTAATAGTTGAATTCATGAGTCAATTGAAGCTAGACCACCATGTAAAACATGGGAGCACAGGACGGCCGTTACATCCTAGTGTGGGACCCAGCAGGAGTGCGCATCCACGATCCTGCCCCGCGAAATTCAAATCCAGGACCTATCGGTCTCGCGCGCGAGCGCTTAACGTCTCGATCACTGAGCCGGCATACAACGGTACTAATGTCATATTACTAAAGTCATAATCTAAATAATTGTTTAATAAAACTACTGTCATACAGCATTGTTTGGTTTTTAGTAAGAATAATTTGGGTAGAATACTTTTTAACAGAAATGACACAACAGGAATAGATGATAAGAATTCGATTATATTTACTGGATTTTATTAAATAAATTCAATCCTCAAAAATCCGTAAAAAGTCCCGTCTTTATAATCACATACCAATAATATGTTAGCTCGGAATCCACGAAAATATAAGGTTTCTACTGTTTGTTGAATATAAATAAATCTATTTTAACCAAACAGAATCAAAATTGTTTATTTTACAAGATTCAAACAAAGTTTAGGTAAATAATTTTCTGAATTCAAGTTTTATTTATGTAGTTATTTTAAAAGATGAAATTTCGACGGCAGTTGGCACTTGTGTGAACAATAATATATTTGTGATACAATTTCTTAATGTTTATTATGAACGCATAGTTTTGTTTCTTTCATTTAAAGGTTTACGACATTATTTTGGTTCTGAATGACGTTTTATCGAAAATTAATGATTAATTTTACTTAAACTGAGATATATGAGTTTACCAAACGATCCTTGAATCCGTTTTCGTCCTATGTTTTTAAAAGCTACCTTTTGCGTAAGGATTTAAAATTTTTATCGGCATCTAGTTGAGAAGATAACCTGATATACATCACCCTCTTAATAAAGTGGTAATATTCCAACCATTTTCTGTGATTATCTATCGTATATAACTCACCAAGCACACTAATCACGAAACTGAAATTTATGCTGATGAAAATTGTCAATAAATTGAGGATTTACTTAACATCTAACTCATAAAGCTATCATGTTTATGAAAAATTCATTAATTTCAATGAAGACATTTTATCTTCGGTTTGCTAAGCTTTTTCGCTAATCGTATAGTCAACTACTGTATTTTACAGTCGAAATCCTATGACAATACCAATAAAAGAAACTGTCAGTCATCGAATATTGTGGAGCCTAATGATATTATATTTTACTTGTAAATTAAAAGTTCTGGATTCACTCTTGCGTGCTGTCAGAAATGCATTCTGTTAAGAATTCCTGAAATAATAAGACTAAAACAACTGATCACTGATTCTTGGTCTTTAAAAGCTCATCAGCTATTTTCAGTTCACAGTGAAGTTTATCTTCAAAGTCTACTTAATCGCTGAAAACTCATTAATAAAACAATGATTTTGAAGTTTCAGCCTTTTTTAGATACAATAAGAAAAACAAAAAAACACTGATCAAATCTATGATAAAATAACATATTAATTGGCATTTAACAACTTACTCTATACAACGTTGTAGAGTATGTTTGTTGAGTTAAAGGTCCATGTGAACCACCAAATGCTAAATTCATAAATTCTATAGATTGTTTTGCTTTATTTATGTTCTTCACTGGTGATGTTAGTGCACTTGTTGTTGTATCTACACTGGTGTGTCGGCTGGATCGATCTGAAGAAGACTATTTAAAGAAATAAAAGTTTCAAAACATGAAACCAATTACTGCATAGCTTAAAATTTCATCATTGATTCGCTTAAACTATTTATTTCATAATTTCTTTAACATGAGTTTATTATTCATTTGATAAACATGACAGATCAGTTTATCTGATTGTTGATAAATTACAGTTGTTTTATAAATTGTAATTAAATTTCTGAATGATGGTAGAAACATCTTATCAAAACTGAAACAAGCTGTCAAGGTTAATAATTTCTTTTAAAAAAAGCTTTTGAGCAATCAATACTTATTTCGGTAACCTGTACATCAGGTTGAAAAGATGAACTGATTGTGCTAAAAAGTAATGGTTGGACTAACGAGTCGATCAATTTGAGATCACCATTAAAAACCTCGAAACACTGAACGGCCATTTCGTCCTAGTACGAAACTCCTCAGCAATGTGCATCCGCGACTTCACATACGAGACTCAATCCCAGAACCTCTGGTCTCACGCGCGAACGCCTAATGTCTAAATCATTGAGCCAGCATCCAATGGTGTTAATGTCTAACTTGAACCAATTCACGATATTGCGAGACCATCTTTCATTGTCTGAGGTAGATACCAGTCTCACACTCGATACGGATTTTACTCCACTGGTCACGGCTTCTCACTAGAACTCTAGAACATCCTTCTTAAATCTAGTCACCAGTGAACAAATGATTACTAACAGGATAGGGGTTTGTGGGGATTATAGTTATGTTAAAAAGACATGTCAAAACAGAAATTCATCACGATGTAATTAATCAGTAAAACTAATTATCAGGACTGATTGATGTAGGGTAAAAAGAGTCGATAGATCTACATAATTCACTTTAAGTGATAAAACGCGGTTCAGTTAAGACGTATAGAAGGCTTTATATTCATAAGAGCAAAGATGTATGTTTGTGATCAAATTCCAGTAATTCTGTACATGTTTTGGGCACTTGTATTTTAAATAGACTCATCTGGATACAAGTACTTCCGATTGAAACTCAGTCGCCATAAATATGACAAACGAAACTTTAGTCACTAGAATAAAATCAATTAAAATATTGGCGACAGATGAAGGATGCAGGCTCTCATGATGAAGATAGTGTAATATAGCTGTCGTACAAATGATCAGTGTAAAAAGGATAAATAATTTATTAAACACATTGGAATCACTCACATCTGCATGTTGATTTGTTGCTAATGCTGCCATAAGATTTGTATTTGACGAATGACGTTGTATCACAAACCTCAAAGCATTACATTTTGAACGTCTGAAAATATTGCTACTTCTTCCTATCACTTCCATATAAATAGATCTGATTAGTGGAGCAGCATTCAAATGGCTAAGACCATATAAAACTTGATTATTGAGCTGAAATAGAAAAGCAAATGTAGATGTTTTCATTTTAAAATGTATTTTATGTAGATTTAATTAACATTTTTATCCTTATTCCCTTTTTACTTCAATTCAACGTTTAACATCCAGGATATGTTTAGTGTTATAAAAACAAGTTTAGAATATCCTGCTTGTTATTAATACATTCGAATAGAAAACATTATGGGATAATTGCTTGAAATTGACTTAGAATTGTGTATAAAGAACTATAGTTTGCCAGAAAGCTATCTATGTGAATAAAACGTTTTTTAGATTACATGTTTAGCGTACTATGTGATCTAGCGAAGTTCTTAGAAAATAAACGATCTCGTCAGATGACTTAACATAAATTTTTACTAAACAATAATCATTCAGTAACTATTTCGTGGAATATAAATATATATAAGACAATTCATCTAGTGTTAAGACTGATAAAAAACAAGTCAACACTACTACCACAATATCGAACGAGAATCTTGGAAGCGATGATAATCATAAGTTCCACGCGTATTTTTAAATCAGTAAATAAGTTCACCTTTTTCCATGTGTCAGAAGGGGCTTTTTGTGGAGATTGTAGTAATTTCAATAGTTGACATCATGAGTCAAATCAAGCTAGACCATCATGGAAAACCTCAACGCAATGGATGGCCGTTTCGTCCTATTATGGGACTCTTCAGCAGTGCGCATCCACGACCCCGCCTCGCGGGATCCGAAGCCAGGACCTATCACTCTTGCTCAATTTCGTTGAATGCCGGCTCAGTGGTCTAGTGATTAAGCTGATTGAGATAAAAACCATGTTTTAATAGTTTAAATAATATATAGAGGGGTTAATATTTAGGCAAACAAGTTTCTTTTTAAGATATTGAACTCATTGTGTAATAGAAAAAATTGAATATAAATTTATACTGAATTGTATATAGCTATAGTCTTTTTTCTCTCCGAAATTAATCCTCAGTTTTTTTAAAGAGAATAATCAAAAAGAAAATTATAAAAGGTAATTAAGATCAAAACAGTCCTAAATTAAACAATTAACAATCTGTTTTTTTATTCTTTTATAAATAGAGTTTTATATCGATCAATAATCAGTGTTTATATTCTATGTATTTCAAAAGATCAACATATTCAAAGAATCTTTCAATTATTAATATAGGTAATGAAATAAAGAGACTGATCAATTGTAGTCTTAAACATCAATCAGAAGATTCAAACAATCAATGCAAAAATGAATTCAACTTCACTTCATTACACAAACTAATGGTTATCAAGACTCAGTAGTTAAGTGGATAACGTGATGACATTTGAAGCGATTAGTACTGAATTCGAGTCCCAGAGTGGACGTCAACTCTGAGATACAAGTTCATTCAACTGATGAGTCCCAAATACGACGAAACTCGTATCCTGAATTCAACAACTAGTCACAATCATCTCTGCTTATAATGACATGAATACATTTTTAAAATTATATTTCTGTTTCAATTAACTTGTGCATATTGTATTAAACAAGGTGAACTAATTGTTATTTATCGTGGAATCGAATTCTTTATCCATAATTTAATAATTGTGTAATCTTATTTTCAGAAATTTCAAGTATTTATCAAGTCAATATGATTCGTTACTGAAATAGAAAGAATTACCTTCTAACATGATAAGTATCAGAAATCTAAGATATTTTGCTAATATTTTATATGATTTTCAGTTTATTGGCTGTAGTCCCTAACATTTATTTCCGTTATCCAGTTAGGAAATCCGTACGTGTCTACGAAATATAGGAATTTATTTCCAAACTGTTCGTCTAATTGATAGTGTTCATCATTTACTTCATCTTGTCTACTGAACAGTGAATCCAAGTAAATGTACCATTTCAATTCACTGGATTATCTAATGAGAATAATAGTTTTGGTAGATGTTATAACTTGTGTGTCTGTGCCCCTATCAATGTATAACGTAATGATACCGTCAATCAGAAAACAGTGAATTATCGACCGGACCAGTGACGCATAAAACCCGTACGAGTAGTCTAGAGTCCTTATCGGTCCTGCTTCCTGCCGAGTCACCCCTGTTAAGTCCAAAACACCAATCTCAGCCTCCGCGATATGAATCGTATATTTCAAACATACTAGGTTTATATACGAACCAAACAGACAACATGGTACCACAAAATAGAAAATATTATTTGTACAAGATTTAGCCAAAAGTGGCTATGAATGTGGGAGATAGTAATTGATAGACTAAGCATAAGTCAAGAATGGTAAATCGTATAATAATTGTTCATAGGTCAAAATAAAGCTTATGATAAGAGGAACACGAATATGAATAGTTTAGTTATTTAAAAATTATACAATCAAAATATACGTAGAGTATTATTCCGAAAATAGATTTTAACTGTTACCATTCATTATTCTCATCGGGATATAACAATAGACAAGTTTGAGAATACTGTTAATGTACATCATAAGTATATTATCTTATTTATTTTATTAAAATATATTATCCAGTAAAAAGAAAGTTATCGTCAGGTATTTTAATTATAAGTAACCTCATGTAGAATAAAGTTTAGTTCCAAGAATATCTATATATTACGCATAAACCTATTGCATATGTTGGAATTAAAGTGTTAAAATTTATAAGAGAAATAAACTAGATTCTCAGCACAACAGGAGATCATTCATGTTGATCATTGAATGAAGCTTGATAGGCTGATACATATTGACCAGAGGATTGGGATCTTTTGTATATTATATTCAAATCAACTAAATTAGTAATATTCATTCAATTTAATATCTCAGTGTGTTATAACTAATCAACTTTAATTGTACAGTTATACTTGTTAAAAGTATTTTTGTTTTTCATTTTTTTAAGTATATCAAGTTTTATGTTATAACATTTGTTTACCTTTTTACTTTATGTAAAGAATTTGTTTTTCAGTAAAATTCTAAATGTGTTTACTCATTAGGAAACTTCTTCTTTTCACCCTTTTACTTGTCATTTCAGGTTGAAGTAATTTTCAATGTTTACATAATAATCTTGTATTCGTTTATGTATAATGATGATAATGTCAATTAGTTTGTCAAATAATTTTAAAATTTTTATTAAATTAAAATACATAAACAAATAATAACGCTTGACCAAAAAGAATGTTTAAAGTTATTTATTATCAACGAAAAACATTTTTTGATTGAGATCATGAACCGATTTGTATTAGACTATCACGGAGAACCTGGAAGCACTTGACGACTGTTTCGTCCTTATATAGGACTACTCAGCAGTGCGCATCCAAGATATCAACTCACTAGATTCATATTCAACAAAAATTGATGAAAAATGTTTCACATGAATAACCAACAACAGTCTAATACACTTGGTGTTGTTTTATTTGTATATTCCCGTTGTTATTTAGGACTGAAATTGATCAGTCTCATGATAGCATATGTGCATGTTATGCGGATTGCCTTGATATTGCCTTAAGTCATAAGTTTAAACAAACGTTTATTTTAATTATGATCTATGGTAAATCTGCATACATTTCATGAGTGATTTATTTCATACACAAGCCTTGGGCAAGAATTCAGAATAAATCATATACTTTTCAAACTAAGATTGTTTATCTGGAACACAGATTTGTTTTGTTGAGATTTCATTATCTTCATATAATGATTTAACTGTATGTTATCCGTTGTAACTCGGTGGATATCAACGTATTACCTTAAATTGAAGTGTTCAAAACCATCATTCGATGAATATTTAAATTTGCAAAATAAAACCACTCATGCCATAGATACTCCGAATCTCTTTCATTATTTTTATCGATTAATTCCATGTAATAATATTGTATTGAGAATATTGGAAAAGTTCAAAGTTGTTTGATAAATCTTTCATGATATAGGGATTAACCTTCAACCCTATATTTGATTCAAATTGTTTCCACTTAAAATTGAAAAATTCAGAACTCTTTTTTCTCAAGTACAGTTCGACTGTTGACAAAGTTTTGTAGGGAGAAAGAAAGATTAAATAGATTTATGAGGAAAAGAGCCTTGAAAATTTTATTTTTTGTACTCTACGTTTTAGTTTGTCTCTGAATTGCTGGGACTCGACCCGGTTAACACTTGTGTAAATTACTTTACCCAAAAATTTACTAGGTGTTTAGTATAGTCAATAGATACAAGTTATGAATATGTTGTGGTGACAAAATGTAAGCTTAATATTAATTATATATAGAAACATTCTATATATATATGTAAATTACTTATCATAAGTCTACTTAATGAATAGGTGATTGTCATTAAACTGACTGAGCACATTTGCTATTAGTTAATATTTTCATGCAAAACACAATGTGGATACCGATATTCGTCTTGAATATATGTTAGTAACAATAATACAAATATTCTAAATTTATTATCACTTACTTCTAATAATTGATCGCCAACTTCTATATGTCCGTCACGTTCAATGATACTTCCTGGTTGTATTCCACATACGAAAACACTCATTTGATTTAAATCTCTACTTCCGGCAAGTTTTAAACCTAAATTCACATTTTTATGATGAGATGCTTCGACAGTCAAAGTGCTCAAAGGTAATTCGAATGTTATAATTTCTCCAGGTAATTCACTGTATTTGTTTAATAAGTATTCTGCAAAATATAAAATTTTTTAGTAAAATTAAATTTAAAATTCTACAAAAACATAAAAATAGGTATTATGAAGATAAAGTTAACTTTTTTATTTGCAATATACATTTCAGAAAGTCATATTTTATATGTTAAGAAGCACATTTTAAAATGGCTCAGTTTCGTAGGCATTAATTATGTTTGTCCATTGAAATGCTTGAAGACGTATCAACTTAAATTCCGGAGTCATGATTTCAATTAACATAGATTAATAAGGTGACCTTTTCATCAAATGGGATTCATATCATTTAAATGAATTCTTAAAGGTATATTAGTTGATATGTGAATTTTACTTAAGTAATTTCGATTTCATTTTTAACGACATATTGTAAAGTAAACCAGTTAGGCATTACATTGACCTCAAACAAAAACCCGGTAATGGCAAAACGTTTGCTTAGATTATATTGTATTACAATTCTTTTAGTTTACATCTTCAATAAACACAACTTCATTTGTTACCTACTTTTTCGTGAGTTTTACTTTTGTTTTATTGTGAATAAACCTTCAATGCTTTGGATTACAATGTTTGATTGTAACAAAATGCAAAATTTATGTATTGATCAACAAACTGTTGAACCGATAGCTGGGTAATTTGCTTAGAAATGTTCTGTCTATTAGATGTCTGTACTTATAACAGTGAGTTTTTCCCAAGTAAAAAAATTCAATAAAAGTATAAACTTCTATTAAATACAAAGAAACTTAATATTTTTCTTATTTTATTGTCTACTAGCTTCTTGTTTTGAACTTTTTAAGGAAGTTTCTACATCTCCAATTAGCTTCCCATCTTGAAATGACACATGATTAATTGAATGTCGTTTTGAAGTCTCGATATTAAACTATAATCCTTCGAAAATTTATATCGGATTTCTAATAATATAAAAAGTATATTACGACCCATTTTATTTAGAAATAAATGACTTCTTTACAGTTAATGACATGAACCTATTTAGTGAAAAAAATAAGTTAAGTAGTCAACTTCAAAGTGTCGAGACCAAGGCGATATTGTAAACAGTGAATATACAACTAATAATTTTGAATAATCCATAGAAATTCACAAGAATTCATTCCAATATATACTAACCATTGTCAAACAGATATATGTTTTCTCTTACATTGCATATGTGAAAATATGTACTGTAACTTTATTTATCAGTCATGTGAATTGTTTTATTTATTAGAATAGAAAAGTAGTGAATCGCTCAGTGTAAACATGTTATAACGTAACATACCGATACATATGATTAGGGGATAATTCTTGGTCAAAGAATGGTGTCATAAAAAATATCTTAGTATTAATCCTAGATTTAAACAAAATGTAACCAAACATTTAGTATTAATATAAAGCTTATACACAAATAATAATAGTAATAATAATCCCCTCCTAAACTTCCGGGTTTATTTTCTTCAAAAACTTCGATTTAATGATTTTTTACTTCAGATAAAGTAAACAAAGAAACAAAATAATAAACTCAATGAAACCTAGAAATCAGAAAACAAAATTTACATAATTACACTTGCAAGCTTGAGAATTTCAAGAAGATTGTTCAAATAAAAATTGAAAAAAATAACGAAATTATTCCAATTATTTGGTTGTTTCATCACTGGCTAACGGAATGTAGTAAATCAAGTTTTTATTACCTTTGAAAAAAAAAGTTTTTTTTGTAGCTGTCTGAAAAGAAAAAAAAACGTGATTTATATTCTGTAACCAATTGTCTGATCAATGTACACTGACACTTGAATATTGAATTTTCTTTGTAAGACACATTTAACTGTAAGTGGAATTTATAATATTCTTTATTGATCTAACATAACACGTTGTAGCGGTGTTTTTTTATTTCAACTATTTAATCTTTATTTGAATAAGCTTTTTGAAAGAAATAATTATTAGATCATTCGAAAAGAAATACTGATTCGTCCAGTAATAAATTATTCTTGATTATTTATTATTATGGATATCAAAACTTTATATGGTAAACCTTTTACTTTTCATAAAAGTCACGTACGTAGAAAATAACAGTACAAATATTTCCATTTATTGAATTTGTACATTCAATGTTTGTCTTTGATTGAAGCATATTAAACTCAATTAGTGAAAAATTTATTTTTATTTATTATAAAACTATTTCATTACATAAAAAGATCTTGTGAACATTAATTTTGACTGTAAATGTGTTATGAAATAGAGTAATTCTATCGATTATTAGTAGCAATAGTGACTTATTGTGTTGGTTCTCGAATGCTATGCAATGATTAAATGAATCGATTTACAACCGTTGACCGTAATAACATGAAAAAAATAGGAAATTTTAAAGACAATTTAAAGTAAACATTCTTATAACTACAAGTGTCTTTTGGGATATTAATTAATTTTCTTACCTAAATACATGTTCATGTCATTATAATCAATTTAAAAAGTATTGAAATGTCTTAATAAATGACATTAAATTGATGACTTAAACGATTATTAAATGAATAGGCGACGACAGCCACATGTCCAAATCGAAAGATCAATGCAAATCGTGAATAGAACTGATATATTTATTGGGATCACTGATTATTTTTCGAAAGATTTATGAAAATAACACCATACACTTAGTGGTGGATAAATATTGAAGGAGTTTTTAGTCAAAGTAACATACCTCGATTTGGGAACGTTAAGTTAACTTGTTACGTCATGGTTGATGATCATTATATATTCAAATATACTGGGTATTTAGAAGTGACATTCACAAACGTTACTAACAAGTTACTTGAGTCATGGTTGACGTTGGTTAGGACTGAGTTAATTACAGTGAGAAGTCAAGGAACAGTGGCAAATATCCTATTTATTCAGTTATTACTCCTGTTTTAAATCCCTGTAGTTTTAAGAGTCAGTAATGTAATAAGCAATGTTTAGGCGTTGAACTGGTCAATTTCAAACTAATGAGTACTAGTGTAAGTTTTATAATACAAAATGGATTTTTTGCCTGACTGATTGCGTGATATATGGAACTGAAATGATATATTTTTCCACACAAGTAAACATTAGCCATAACTCTCTTAGTCAGAAATTAGACTTTGAACACCTTTTCGCTTTTTCTAATACAGTTTATTTCTAAAAAAAAGTAATCATTAAAACATACCAGATGAAAGGATTAGTTTAACATGATTATTACTGTTCTGATTATTAATAATACCAAAATATAGAGCTCAATGTTACGCTTCACACAACGATTTGATTTCTCACAGAAAACAAGTGGGATTATTTAAACAAATCTGAAATGTTTTGTTGCATGAAACAAAATAATGCTCCTATGAAGTAATTATCAACTATGTTTTTTGATAAAAAAGAAGAAACAAAATATATTCCACCCTATTTTAGATACTACTCACTGATGCAAAAAAGAGTGGCAATTCTGTTTTATTTTACCTGCTAAATAACGGTGGGTATTTCCTTTTTTTTAAAACAATAAAACGTCTACAGTTAAAGCCATAGAGAATACAAAAAAATTTCATTTGTAAGTAACACTGAACGAAATATATAGTAAACAAAATTTTGATTAGTTATATGATTGATGGGTTTTACCAAACGATGAAGTAATAAAAATTTGATTGGTAACATATTTTTTTACACTATAACCCTCTGTTTAAATGCACTGTCAACTAATCACGGGAACTGAAATTCATTAAACAACTACAAACAGAAGATTAAAAAAACTGATACTAGGATGGCAATTTAGGGAAAAACGCAAGCAATTTGTTAAGCATAACCGTCTATATGTATTGTAAATTTTGAGTCGTATGATCCGTCGGAAAGAAAATTTGAATAAGTTTATTCTGTAAATAACATAAAGCGAATATATAAGATATATTTGAAGTTTGACATTAACACCGTTGGGTGCCGGCTAGCTCAGTGGTCTAGTGATTAAGTGCTCGCGCGCGAGTCTGATAGGTCCAGGTTTCGAACCCCACGGGGTGAGGTCATGGATGTGCACTGCTGTGGAGTCCCACGATAGGACGAAACGTCCACCCAGTGCTTCCAGGTTTCCCATGGTGGTCTAGCTTCAACTGACTCATGATCTCAACTATTGATTTATTTGTTTATTGTAAAACATTCTATCGTTAATCTTCGATGCTCATTAAGGTAACACTTTTTTTAATGAAAAAGAAAGATATTTTAAGTTATTAGAGCTTATTACATGAGTATTTAGTAATAATATGTCTCCAAGTCTTTGTAATTCACGTCAAAAACAGAAAATTACAATAAAAGGATCAAAAATTAGATCTATACTGTCTACGAAGTAAAGTAGAAATAGATCCTATTGGTAGATTTTGATAGAATTTGTCAGAATGTAAAATATACAAATATGTACTATATGCTATGTTTGGCTGAATACAATGATTGCTGCAACCACTTACTTTTTATCATTTCTATGCAGTGTCTTCTTTTTCTAAGTGTTATATAATAAATATCAGGCAATGAAATTAAATTTTTCTTCTAAAGTAAAATATTCAAAAGCAGTACAAGATTTATAATTGTGCTTTCAGACAAAGTGTTTACTTAGATATTATTAGTATATGTGACAAACTTCTCACCAATATGTTTCCATTAGACTATTAACGTCAAAATAATTATCCATGTTTACTACAATATATTGAAGTTAGAGGACTAGTGAACTAACTTAAGCCTGTTTCCACCTCAATTTTCGAACATAACTAGTTGTGAAAATGATGTTTAACTTACTGTAATCAGTTACTATACTTTGAAATGATTTAAGATAATTGATAAATAATTACTACAAATGTTCTTTAGTCTTTTAATATAAGATGTAATATATCTAATTTATCTGCTTTTATTAAATCAAAATATAAATAACGATAATGAGCATCAAAAGAGTATGCTTCATCTACTGAACGTCAATAGAATGTAATGATTTTATATTTCATTTACATGGTGAACTTCTAAACTTGAAACAATTGTTAGA